TCCAGAGAAGTGTGTAGCTATCAGCTACAGCCAGCATCAGAGAAGTCTTCGCACCTGCCATCTCCGCTAGCCAGCTGGACCAGAACCACGGCGGGAGAGTGCACGCACACCTGACCCTGGGCCACATCCAGAGTGAGTGCGCCCGGGAGCCCAGGCGCGCTCCCCACATCGCTTGCAGCCAGACTCATGCCGGGATTAGCCAGGTGTGGCGGAGACCCCAGGGTGCCCACACACACCACGCCGGGGGTCAAGAGACCCACCCCATATCTCTCCTAGCCTCTTGTTTGGTTATTTTTGAGATAAGGTCTCACTCGGTAGCCAAGGCTTGCCTGGAACTCACTATGTAGTCCAGACTGGCCTCAAACTCATGGCAATATTGCTGCCTGAGCCTCCTGAGTGAGGCTCTTCTGTGATATTTGAAACTATTATGCCTATATCATGTGTGGTATGAAGCTTCCTATGAGTTGACGGTTCCCTTCAAAGGGCCAATCTTTCCTTCCCTGTCCTTCTCACTCATTTTCACAACCAGCCTGGGTCTTGGAGAACTTAAAGTTTGTGACCCATGAACTTCTTTCCTTTCCCTCTGGTCAAGGATGGGTAGGATCATGCACTTAGGCGTTCGAATCCCACCCACAACATTTGGAGACTCCTTGTCCAGCAGGGCCAGGACTGTGGTCCAGGCGAGGTACCTCCAATTCCCAGGGATTCAACTTGCTGTTGACGCAAACCTTTTAAGGCCAATACAAGGCCTTGGGTCAGAGGCTTTCTCCCTGTAACCTCCAGGGAAGACCCTGACTCATGGCTTGATGAGTGTGGGGGTGTCAGCAAGCACTTGTGGAGGTGCATGGTCCTGTTCTTAGAGGAAGCAGAAGGTTTTACATTCTTGACTCACACACCAGTCTGAGAAGAAGCTGTTTCTTTTTCCATTTTGCATGTAGTAACGTGGCTTCTCACAAAAGCAACACATTACAAACCCAAAGAGTATGTTCAGGATCCTTGGTTTCTACAGACTTGAAAAGGTCAGTAGAGCCACAGTCCATGGCTACAAGGGGATGTCAGAGAATGGAGGGTCAGGGCACACACACAATTTCCCAGACACAGTGTTGAGAGGCAGTCAGCCTTGTATGCCATGTCCCAACCCCAAACACACCTGGGGATGATCTCTTATCTTTTTCTATTCTGGCTGGAGATGGAATCCAGGTCCTTGTACATGCTAGATGAGTGTTCTACAACTGAGGTACATCCCATTCCTCAGTTGTTTTTTCTGAGACAGTCTCCATTTGTAGCCCAGGCTAGCCTGGACATCTTAGTCTCATGAGCACTGAGATTATAGGTATGTGCCTAATACATAACCATCTTTGGAGGACTAGGCCCCTCTGGCTTGGTTCCCATGGAGAACTGAAACCTGCCTTCTCTTCTAACTCTAAGGGTCTCACAGAGTACCTGGGAAGCCAGGGATGCATCCACAGGGTGAGCAATGGTGTTGGTCCATGACCCATCTGTCAGGAAGAAGTCAACTATGGCTTAGCTAAGGTGGTGAGTCATTCATAACTTTCCTTTATCTCCTTGGCAGTCTGGAGGGGCAGATCCATATTCTATTCCTGAACTTCTGCTCTGTTCATAAGAAGGGCAGGAATCCAAGTACCCAGACTAGTTCCTCAGCCCCTCAGACAAGATATCCTTAGAGATGTTCCAAGAAGAGGGAAAGAAAGGTCTTCAAAGGAGACTCCTGGGTAGATGTGAGAACTCCCCATTGTGTCTTGCACAGGACCAAGGGTTTTTTTCCCCACTTTTCTGATTTGCATGAAACTGAGGGGTTTCCTGGGATCAGAGGCTTTTACTCTTTCACCTTTAAAAGTCCTGGAGAAACCAGGGAAGTTTCTCATTCTCAAGAACAGGATTTAATGTGCTGGATGGAAGCTGGGTGGAAAAAAAAAAGACCAGGAGCCAACAAGATAAAGAGACAGTCACATCCTTGTAGCTGGTCCCTGTGTTAGGGACTCTTAACACTTTGATTATGAGGGTCCACTTCAGTCCCACCCAGGTGTTGTGGCTACAGTTTGTATTTCAACAATGGGGAGGAAGCCTTCAAGGGCTTGGGACTGGAGAGGGAGGCTGATCACTATGTGTGTAGCTGGTGACTGCAGGTCTGGGACTGGGCTGCTATACTGGTACTGGGCTGCTGGTGACTGCAGGTCTGGGCTGGGACTGGGCAGCTGTACCCCTGTCCTGCTTTCAGTACCACTTCTCCTGACACCTCTTTTCCACCAGGCAGGCACAGAGAGATGGCCATTGCTCTATAGTTTTTAGTCTGGTCAGGAGAAGCAGAGTCATCTGCCCAAGTAATTATGGCATCACTTCAGGCACAGGCTTTTCAGAGCTGACACTGTACAGGATGGTAGTGTCATCAATGATGCAGACTCTGGAGCTGTGAGGAGGGGAGCAGGTTTTTTTGAGACAAGGTCTCACCTAGCCCAAGTGAGCCTTAAACTCAATATATAGCTGAGGATGACCTTGGATTTCTGATCCTCATGCCTCCACCTCCCAAGTGCTGGAATTACAGGTGTTCAACACCATGCCCAGTTTATGCAGTGCTGGAGATGGAACTCAGAGCCTCATGCATGCTAGGTAGGCACTCTATCAATTAAGTTGCACCCCTAAGAGGCTTTTTCTCATGATCTGTCTGGGGCTAGAATAGGCTGTGAGGCTTGTGACTGTGACTGAGCCACCCCCAAACTCCAAGCTCTGTAAGTGGATTTTCCTCTATTGTGTGGTACCTGGCTCATACCCAGGTTGAAAGCTATTTTGGTGTACTGGATATTTCTACCTTAGTTCCCTTAAATAATGCACGTATGGGACAGACTCCAAGAAGTCTAGCTAATGCTGAAAAGATCTGAACTTAACATTTGCTATTGCTCATTTCAAGATAGTTTAAGTTAAGCCAAATCAATTGTCTACTTAAAAAAAAAAAAAAAAAGAACCCTCAGGGCTGGACAGGTGGCTCAGTGCTTAAAAGAACGTGCTGTTTTTCCAGAGGACCCAGGTTTGATTCCCAGCACCCACATGGCAGTTCTGTCATTCCCTTCTGGCCTTCGAGGGCACTACACATATACTAGTAAACATATTGGCAATCAGGGCTGGAGAGATGGCTCAGCGATTAAGAACACTTATTGTTCTTGCAGAAGACCCGGGTTTGAATCCTAGCACCCACATGGCAGCTAACGACTGTCCATAACTCCAGTTCCAGGGGAATCCAATGGCCTCTTCTGTCCTCCTCAGGCATCGCACGACACAGGTACATTTATCTGCATGCAGGCATAACATTCATACACATAAAATAAAAAGAATGAAAATAAAATATTAAAAAAAACATATTGGCAATCAAAACACTTGTACAAATAAAAATAAATAAATCATTAAAAACAATAC